GCTATTGAGTAATGTACTAAAACATAATGGTCTCGAGACGTAAACGAACTATAAAATCTTGGATAATTCGTGGCTTGCTAAAATGCATGAAAAATAGGGACAATTTACATATTAAATCAAGAAACCATCCTAATGACACAATTTTTCGAACAACCTACACTAGATATAGGAATTTTTGTAATGACATACTAAAGAAGGTAAAACAAGAATATGAAAAGGCAGAAATTTGTAAAGCTAAATCTAATAGCAAAACACAGTGGGAAATAATAAAGAACATAACTCACACGACTAAAATCAAAGCGCCAGCCACAGAATTTTTTTCTAATGATCCTAGGGGGTCGGTTAATGATATAAATGAATATTTTGTGAACATAGGAAAGAATATAGCTGAGTCTATTAAGAACTGCTCGACAGGCTTTTCCTTGGGCATACCAGACATATCATCTAGTCACTCATTTGCATTACTTCCGGTAGATGACTCTGAAGTCGAAACAATTATATCATGGCTTAAAAATAACTGTACGGGACGGGACAATATTTCAAGTTCTCTTATAAAACGATACAAAAATATCCTAACACCTATACTCACATATATTTGTAATCTATCTCTAAATACTGGAGTATTTCCTCACGAATTCAAACGTTCAATGATTCACCCTATTCATAAGAGTGGAAATAGAGAGTGTGTCGATAATTATCGGCCCATTTCTATACTGCCAGTATTTTCGAAATTCTTGGAAAAAGTAGTAAATAATAGACTGGTCAGGTATCTTGAATCAAAAAATCTCTTATCACATGCGCAATTTGGTTTTAGAAATGGCAAAGCTACAAGTGAAGCAGTACATGAATTCTTAAGTTATACCGTTAAATATATGGACGACAAGAAAAAAGTTATAGCAGCAAGAATGGGTCGACTTAACCGGGGAAGGACCCCGATCTGACAGAATACTAGCGTAAAATAGCAGCTACTGTGTTTCGTATGGTGAGTGTAGAGAACCGGAGACCCTTTTTACTGATAAAGAGGCATTTCATCTTAGTCCTCAAGGGTGATACGCATCTGCATTTTGATTCTTTATTGAGAATAGATGTAGATGTCTCTGGGTCACAGCAACCACTTATCATCAGGTGAACTATATGCTCGTTTGTCACTCTATGCTATAGAAGAAAATTGATTCATCCTTGAAGTCGGTCAGTCTATTGATGCAGATGGTTCAGGACCGTATTTTGAGGAGTATTTAGTGGACTTTTGAAGAGCTATATTGATAATACTGATAAAGGTTATCAATGAAAATACAAACGTGATATTTAAATTTTCTTATTTCCAGGAAGATTAAGTAAAAATGGTTTTTAGAAGATACCGCATCCGCAACCACCAAAACCTCCTCCAGCAATACCGGGACCGTAACTGAATCCGACAGCAAGGCCAGGTCCATAACACAAGCCAGCGGTGACCGGATATCCCCAAGCGGACGCGTCGATGTCTTCGCTTATAATACCCACAGCGCCGATTCCGCAACCGTAAGAGACGACACCAGCACCAGCAGTTGGAAACACACCCTCCAGACCAACGGTGCCTAGGAAAGGCAGCTCACCACTGACAGCCAAGATTCCTGCGATCTCGTTCTCTGAGAGAACAGATACTCCAACAGGTGGGATGGGAGACGCGCTGGCGACAGGGAAACCACCGCCGCTAGTAGTTGGAATGGCAGCAAGACCGCATCCAGCACCGTAACCGGCCCAGCCTAAGTCTCCCCAAAGAGCGCCACAGGGAGCCCCATTAATCAAGGAACCTTCGTAGGCCAGTCTGTTGCCCAGGCAGTAGGCACTGATGGTCTGAGTACGAAAAAAAATAATTCATTAATTTTTAACAATATATTTTTAATAATAACTAATAAGTACTATTTATGTAAAACCAAAAACAATGTCTCAAATGATGTGCATGTGTTTTAATTTCGACCATGTTAAATTTATTCGGATAAAGACATTTGGTACTTTTCTATATTATTTCTCACCTAAACCATGAATGCTTGGGCGCAGAAAAGAAAGAAAGTCTTGACAGATATAGTTGTTATGTTTATTGGAAACAAATGTGAATATAATTTAGGTCGATTAACTTTTATAGAGCTAGGAAATATGTATGCCGACATATATCGAATTGTTTTTGAAACAATCTCACGCAATTCCATGATCTTGTGTCACAATTATGTGTCTGACATTGCCAGTTATAATAATGTCCTTTAGACGGAATTTACGTCACAGCAGCCTGTCTCAACGGAGACTAGCCATCTGCGCAGGACAGGATTATAGTGCCCGAGTGTATGCGCAATCACAGGTGTATTCTTTATTCTCTCATGCTCATAATCCGATGGAACGGTAATCAGACACGAACTGAAGAGAGATCATGCACAAGATGCACGGGGGTAAAAAATCGCCAACTTCCTATTTCCAGGCTGCTTCTGAGAATTTCTTGGCAGAATAATCCAATTACTGATATTGGCACGGCGCGGAATTCGAACCCGATACCTCAGAATCAGCACATATCATGTTGTATAAACTTAAGCAATGTACTTAAGTTTTATTTAATTTAACCTAATGTATATCAATAACCAATGTTATATACTAACTGATACCGGCGACTTCGTCCGTGTTGCTTAATATATTAACAAAGTGAAAAAGTAACGGTGAAAAATTACTGAGAAAACTATAGGAAACTACGCGGGGCAAGTATCTAATACTCAAGCATCAGGTCGCTCGCGCAAATAATGCACGGCTAGCCCTAACTTTATCATGAGGCAAGGGTAGAAGAGACTTTCCCTCTCCTACGCATGCGCGCTACACCGCTTGCTCCATTTCTCCGCGGCAAGAAAACACACATCACTGAACACGTAATACTAATAAAATCGTTGTCTCTTAAAACTTTAATAATTTTATATTAAATGAAATATATCGCAATAATTTTTTTAGATAAAGGCATGTCTAAGAAATAAAACTTTGAAAACCTAATTGAAATCTATCCAGTAGTTTTTTCCGTGGTTCGCGCACAACTGCAAATCTCCATCATTTTATTTATACAAATAAAATTTTAGCTTTTTGCACTCCTTCTCCATTATAAACTTTAACTATGCCAAAGTGCACGTTCCTCCTATAAAAAAAAAACTAATATATTATAAATATGTATAAAATATACGCTGTTTCAAGCTTTTTTGCCTTAACGTACACTCCACAGACTATAGATAAATTAAAAAAAAAAAGAAATCACACAAAATTCACAGCTCATGCATTCAACATGTCAATAATTATTTTGTTGGCAACATTTTAAAATTAGTTACAGCCTATATACGTTATTTCTGAGAGGGTTTTTAGGGCAAGGAAATGTCCACCGCGCTGCCCCAATGCGTGTTGTCGAACAAAGAGAATATAATCACTACGTTTATTGTCGAACTTTACATGTCTTCGAAATATTTTTTAATTTAAAATTATTTGGCAAAAGTCTTTCACCCTCAGTGTTTGACAATTGAAATGGCCAGTATGAACGTAAAAAGGAATGTTTTACTTCATTTTATTTATTGTACTTGTAACACATATTATATTATATACATTTTAGCTTTCTGCGTTCATAAACTTTAACTAGGCCAAATCTCAAATTCCTCCGTGCGTGCAATATATTTAAAAAGGGTACAAAGTTTTCCCGTCAGGTATTAATATGTAGATCAAGCATTTCTTATATAATAAGGGTTATAAACGAGTACATAGTCTACCTGATGGTAAGTGGATGCTGTGGTTTATAGACAAAGACAAAATATATCTAGGCGTTGTTGTACCTGAGGATGAAGACAGAATGCCTAGAAAGGGGTCCCCAGTTCTCTAATTTCTGTGTGTTATTTTTACGTGTTCCTGCAACATATTAAATAATTCCTTATGTTGTGGAGAACGTATGGAATTTATTTTATTATTTTGCATTTCCTTAAATACTCATTTATTTGATTTTAATGAACCATCAAACCGTGTAGTGACGGTGTAAGAATATTCACTATGCCATATCGTCCCGTGCATGTCGTAAGAGTTGACATAGGAAGATGGAAGATGTATCTCCTCGATCATCATCATCATCATCATTACAGCCCTTCACAAGTTCACTGCTGCACATAGGCCTCCCCCAAGGAAAAAGCACTGTCCTGAGCCACATCGACTTCCTGCATATCTTACCAGGTCGTCCCTCCATCAAGTGGGGGAACGCCCTACACTTCACCCGCCGGTACGAGGCCACCCCTCGAGAACATTTTTCCCCATCGGTTGTCGGTTCTTCATACTACATGGCCGACCCATTGCCACTTCAGCTTACTAATCGGTTGGGCAATGTTGGTTACTCTGGTTCTACTGCGGATATCCTCATTTCTAAGTTTATCACGCAGACAAACTTTGAGTTTCCTCACACGGCCAGCAGTAAAGGACCACTTCTCAGATCCATAAGCCATCACTGGCAATACGCCCTGATTGTACAATCTCGTTTTCAAATTTTTAAGATATGCCTGACGAGAAGAAGTTGCCAACCCGCCTGTCACTACACACATAGTTTTACTATGACAAAATTGTGCCTTTGAGGCAATCTACTGGGGTGGTCTATGATTAGTAGCGGTCTTTAAAGGCTGTAATGGAATGGATGATGAATAAATGAACCTCAGAATGAATAAGTCCAATTGTTATGACAGTAATAAAAAAAAACGATTACGTAAAATTTCTACTGAAAAGAGAAAAAATCAAATAGAACACTATCAATTCTACGACTAAGACGAAGCACATAATATACTTGATAAACATTACACTCTTTCTGGAGCAGTTGGGTTAAAACAGATCATGTCTCATCCATTTATTTAATTGCACAAAAAGTTCACGTGTTTTCGTTACGAAATTATTTTGTATTGACCAGAGAATAAAGAGTATATAACACATTGGTTTTCATTTTATAAATCAGAATTCGTACAGTCCTAGAAGCCTTAAACATGTCTTCTTTCGCTTTTTTCTTGCTGTGCGTTCAAGCGTGCTTGATCCAGGTAAAAATCAAGCAGTTTTCTATATATATTTTTTTAATTTTGAGTTATTATCTAAATTTTTTAAAACTACATTTGTAATACTTATAAACTGATGTTTCTGTTATATTAATTATATAAATTACAAAAAAAGAACTATCCGTTATCTTTTAACCAGGTAGATGGTTTAAATTTATATGAAACAATTTTTACGCTACATTCCATAAACCTATAATAATTAATCAAAATTATTCAAATAACCTTTTCCTTCTTGAAGCCTTATTTTACGAATTTATTTATAAAGATTCTTCTCCATTTGCAGAATGTATACAGTCAGTGTCTCGGAACTGGACTTGGCTTAGGCTATGCTCCAGGATTCAATGCTGAGTACGGCTTGGGATGTGGACCTGAAGTTTCTTATGGACCTGGGTTCAGTCTTGGATACGGTCTCGCTGGCCCTGGAGCCCTTGCCACTCCTGCTGGCATTGCCGGTCCAGCCTATGGAGGCACTGGCGTTGGTGATGTAGCGGTCGCTGGCGAGTTGGGTGTCGCTGGGAGCACCCTAGTAGCGGGTCAGGTGCCGATTCTGGGCTATGTTAGATTCGGTGGTGAAGTTCCAGCTGGTGGTATTGTCTCCATTACCGGAAGCTGCGACGGTAGCTGTGGTTGCGGCTGCAATGGTGTTTACCTGTACTGAAACGGGGCAATGATAATTATAAAGAGGAAGTAATTAAAATGTAATAACAATATTGCAGTTTTTTTCCTCCCTCATGCACCCGATCAAGTAAAAGCCTGATATATTTTCTAGTACTACGCAGTATGTATATATATGTATATGTGTATGTATGTATTTATATATGTATAAATTGTATGTACTTAAGTATATATTGATTCATTTATTTAGGTAATCATACAGCATTTTCATCATATTTACAATACATATTATCATACACACAGACAGGCTGTAATGGTGATGATAACCATTCTGTTAGTACTTATATTGCATATTTCCTGATCAAAATATATAATATAGGCTTTTATTTAATAAAAGTATGCACAAAAATATTACTTAAATTGGTTTTGTAATTTCTGTCTATGTTTCTTTGTTTAAATACGTATAGGGTAACAATAATAATAATAATATATTTATTTTATTTTATTGATATTTATGTCTACTTATCATTTTCATTTACAAATTATATATTTGTAGAGCCCAACCAGATGAGAAAAATATATAGATACCCCACATAATAATAATAATAAGAAGTAGATAAAGAAATATATTATGTTGCTTTTTATTTTGAAAATTCTGTATTGATGCCTCAAATAAGAAGTAACATAGGTAATTTTGATTAATCGCACTACCTTTAATATGATGTGTAAGCATTATGTTACATAATCATAATCATTCGGTAACAAGTTCAAGGTTTATTAATCGAAGCACGTACATACTTAGTCGTATTATGTCATTCGTTGATTATTAATCACACGAAGAAAAAGTTATTTAGGTTTGTTGGACAGATATATAATTTACATTATATTACAAATAATACTTTTAAGGATTACTCAATTAATGTCTATGCTTAATGTAATATTATTACACATTAACATAACATATTGCCATCAATATGTCATTAACAGTTTAGTGCTTCACCAGCACACAGAATTTAGTTCCGACATACACTGCGAATTAGATATTCGTCTGCAACATATAGCCACATCAGGCTTAGACAAAGAGACCGTAAAGAGCTCTGTAATACTCTGTCCTAGCCAACTGCCCAAAATTGGCGTTACAACGGTGAATGACAAGATAAAGATTGCGAGACTGCTAAAACGAGAAGCCTAACACAGCATGCCTCGACTAGCCATTGGTATCCATTGTGGCCTCAGAGGGGAAACCAAGCCGCATCCATATTGCCACCGCTCCACCAACGAAGGTAGATGCACCATCCACAATCTCCTCGAGATCATCGCGATATCTATAGATAAGGCAAAATACGCAAGACTACTGGCGTTGCTTATAAAACAATGATTGCTTATTACCAATGAACACGTTATCTGTCGTGGAATAAGGGACTATAGTAATTAATTAACTTCATTCAATTCGTTCATCTATTTTTAACTTTTAAGCGGGAAGTGATTAAAGCTAAATTTAGGTAACTTCACGCAGTTTTTTTTTGTTAAGTCTTACACAATAACTCATTATACTTACACGGTATTATATTTAAGTAATTATAAATTATATTATTGTTTTTAGTGCCGTTTCTCCACACTTTGGGGGGACTTTTAAATTATATTTAATAGTTTTGTTGGTGCAAAAGACGTAACGGGACTGGTGTCCGTTACGGCTTTTCGCACAACACCCTGTCATAAGCAAGGTATTAGGGTCCTAGTATTTCTCTCGAAGTTTGCCCCAGTATTGTGATGAGATCAGATGTTCAAGCTACATGATGCTCAAAGGGAGGTGCTCCGCTTTCTAGCGGAGCGCTTTCCTGAAATGAATCCAGGAGTGCTGATGCTCTCCCCCCCTCTCTCCGGAATCGTCCCCGGCACTTGAAGACTCCGTCATGGAGCACTCCAGCGCAGTTGTGCTAGAAAACTCTGGGGAAAAGGCCACAAAGCCGGCCAGCCGCGCTGAAGAAGGCAATGTCCCCTCTCCGACCCCTTCTCAGCCCTCTTCTCGGGCTTCCTCCCGCGCGTCCTCTAGGGTCTCGATTGCTGGTGCCTTCGACTCGGTGGCCTCCTTGGAAGAGGATACCGAGGTGGAAAGGCGCCTTCAGGGAATGTCCTCCTCCGGCGACGAGAGCTTCGCATTCGTCAAAGGAAGAAAGAGGCTACGGTCCTCCAAAAAGGATCCTTCCAGGTCGGCGACGAAGACGGCCTCGGCCCCATCCGTTACTCCCCCTCAGGGGAGTCAATCCTCCCTTAAAAAGGGTTTCAAGGCTACTTCCGTGACCAAAAGTTCCCAAAAGTCTCATATACAGCATCATGGCCGACAAAAAGAGGGTTCTCAAAAGCCAAGCCCTTCGGACAGGACATCGTCATCTCGGCCAACACGGTCGAGGATTTCCGTGCTCTTACGAGCCTTCTCCTGAGAAGAACATCCCTTGGTAAGAACATCCCTTATCATACATACTCCCTGGAGGAGGAAAAGCGTAGTCATACGAGGAATTCCAATGGAATTCGATACAGCTTGCGTAAAGGAGGATTTGATTAGTCAAGGCCTGACGCTGCAAGAGATGCACCGCATGGTCAATAAGACATCCAACACCCCTTATAATCAGGTCAATTTCTTGACCTCTCAGAAGAGGGCAAGAAAATTTGCGACATACGCACCGTATGTCACCTCTTGGGAGTCTCTATAGAACCCCCGCATAAGAAAAAGGTTCCGGGGCAGTGCCATAGATGCCAAATCTATGGACACTCAGCCCGTAACTGTTTCGCCCGTCCCAGGTGCGTCAAGTGTAAAGGAGTGCACCCACAACGCTTCGTCCTCCCCCCCCCCCCCCGATCTGTGTGCTTTGCAGGGTGGAGGAGCATACTGCGAATTTCCGCAGGTACCCAAAAGCCCCCAAAGCACAAAAGCAGTGAGGGAGGAGCGCTGGGGGTCGCAAGCAGCTCCCCAAGCATAAGGGCTTGGATGAAGCCGTTGAGTATGGCCAGTGGAGCACCTAAACAAGCGTCCACTTAACTTCCGGCTCCCGCGCGCGCACCGGCACCAGCAGTCGCCCACGCTCCGCGTAAGGAGTCCCCACTACTACTAGGATATAAAGTCGACCCACTCCCCGGGCTTGGAGGATCTAGCCGAGGACTTCAACTTGGTCTGCGATTTCGTAGACAGTTTCGATGTAAACGAGTTGCACTTTGGTCTACAAAATTAGGACTGCGCGCTCTGCTAAAGAGCGCCTCCAGGCCTCCCTGGATCACATGGAAGTGATCGAGGCAATCAAGAACTTCAGGGCTAATTAAGCCTGAAGTGAACTGTTTTCTTCTTAATGGATTACACAATAACAGCTAGAATAAAACCTAGATCAAACCTAAGTCAATAGCTGTCACCTTCTTCAATGCTGCTCACTGATCATCAGATTGATATATTGCTAGTGCAAGAGACTTTTCTTAAGCCTAGAATTAGAGACCCTAAAATAGCTAATTATAGACTAATCAGAAACGATCGTATAGGGGCACAGTTAGGAAGGACTCTTATATATTATAAGTCGTCCCTAAATGTAGTTCCCGTTGACACACCTCAATTAACTGATCTAGATGCCTCCGTTTGCAGAGTAGCCATGACCGGTCATCAACCGATCATGGTAGCCTCTGCATATCGCTCACCTCTTAGGTAGTAAAGAGCGATTTCGAAGAACTGTTTAACCTCAGTAACTCGGTAATATTAGCTGGCGACTCAAATAGTAAGCACCAAGTCTGGACTAATAATAGTAATATTATTAACAATAGTAAAGGCTATGACTTATTAGCTCTTAGTGATAGCCTAAAATTCGACATAATAGTTTCTCCGTAGGACAACAAATATTCAACAAATCAGTCTCATAGCTCGACCAAAATCGACTTAGCATTCTTTAGGAACGTAACCTTAACGTTACGCTCTATAGAAGTGGTGCATGAGTTAACATCGGTTAAGCCCGGTCTTAATGACGTTAGTACAGTCCAGCAGTGAGGTTTTTCCAACCAAAACTGTAACTGACTGGCATAGGTTCGAGGCTAACCTCGAAACTATGAACTCAGAATACTTACATCAAGTGTCAGGCGTTATTGATACTTTTTTTTATACGTTACCCCCACACTAGGATTTTGTCCTGTATCGCGGAGGCAGTTTACAAACATAGATTGCACGAGGACAATAATCCAGACCCGGAACAATTATTTGTAAGCCATACAAATACTTGTTCCGTGCGGGATTCGAACCCACGGCCCCCAGCGCAACAACTCATTGCTAAGCCACTGCACCACGGAGCCGTCAAATATATATACTAAAGAGGTGGCCTTAGAGGCCATCTCTCATATCACCTCTCATATAAAGATGGTTGCCGGGGAGTCTTCGAGGCGGCTCAAGGCGTCGAGTGATCATCGCTTTGAGCTACCCGGGGATGTACGGCGATTACTGACAGAGAAAAATGTTGCGGTGAGGGCCTATGACCGTTACAGAACCGTCAATAATAGGTCCAATTTGCGCCGCGTCTGTAGAGAGGTCAAGGAGCGCATGGCCCAGCTGAGGAAAACACGATGGGACAATTTGATGGAGGATATCTCGCCCTCGCATACTGCCTTCTGGAAGCTGGCGAGAGCTCTTAAATCAGAAAATGTCGCTTCGATGCCGCCATTAGTAAGATCTGATGGTCAGTTAGCGTTCGACAAATCGTAGAAGGCCGAATGCATGGCGGATAGCATCGAGAGCCAATGCTCCCCAAGCACCCTGCCAATCGACCTGCCAATCGACCCGCCACACCACTAATGTACGATCCACTTCCTCCCGTTACTTTTGATGAGGTGAAAACCATCATCAAAAAATCTCAAACCCCGAAAAGCGCCAGATAGGGCGCTGACGGCATAAATAATAAAGTTTTTAAAGCCCTTCCCCCTAAGTTGATTTGCATCCTAGTGGCTATTTTCAATGTTTTAATGTCCACCTGCACCTTTCCAGAAGTGTGGAAAGAAGCAGAAGTCATCGGTATTCCCAAA